AATATCAACTAGTTCTCTATGTTTCTACTATACAGATATATATCCATATGGAAATACTGGGGAATTTAGCACAATTTCAGATTCTCTCTCATAATGTTGGAAACATTTTGGAAGTCTCTTTCATTCCCCGTTATATACCAGAGCCTAGCATGGGGGTCTTGTGTTTACTTTATTTATCAAATGTTTATTCAATGAATAGCAAATGAGTAAGGCCTGGGTTTTCCTAGCATGTCAATCTCTGCATAGTGCCCACTAGGACTTGTCCAGCTCTATTACACTTCAAATTGTTTAGCTGAAGTAATGAAAGTTCAATATGTCAAAACACTGGAGACCCTTGTATGGTGAGGCTCTCCTCTTTTTCTGTAGGAAAGTTACAAGATCTTTACTTCTGTTATGGATCAATATAGCCACATTACCTTTCTATAGAAAGAGAACAGAGATCTATATCTATCATCTATCAACTCTCTCTCTCTCTCTCTCCCTATCTCTCTCTCTCTTCTATTTCTATCAGTTGGTTCATTGATAGCAATGGCAATGATGAGACTCTGAAGCAACAAGGGGCAGGTGACAGCACTTTATTGCCAGAAGCCAGGGGGTTTCTATTATCATAGCAATAGGCAAAATTGAAGGGCAGCCAAGGGGGCTTGACCTGGAGGGAGATGTGGAGATGATTAATGGAACCTTGTGTCTCTAAAGGCAAAATAGATGAATAGCCAATTAGGGTGCTGCTTAATACATCAACAAAAAGAAGGCATATGAATAACAGATGGAGGGTGGTTGCCTCAATAGAAAGTCTTTATCTTTTTGCCCAGATCCTCGAATTTAGCAAGTTTGTAGACCCTGAAACCAATAGCTAAAGAGGTGGCCAAGTCCACAGGAGGAAGACTTTGAAATGCTACGGCAAAAACATACAGTGTTAGTTTCCCCCATTTTCCTCAAAGGAGACCTAAGATATTTACTTGAGAAAATACACTGTGGAAAGAGGACTATCCAAATATTCTGAGGGTATTCTGTCTGAATTAACATTGATTTATAGGGTTTCGAAACATCATGGTACAGTGGAGGCATTGAGGGGCCAGGATCTGAAATAAACAGAATCCTGCCTAAATCTGGCTCTCAAAGGCTCAGGAGGTTTGTAGACCCATCCAGGGGTCAAGTCCCTGGTCCCCAAATATATGATTGGAATTGACACATTTGGCTGTTGAAGGAAACCCACCTTGAATTCATTCAAACCAAATGAGACCTATCATAGTGGAGAAGGTGAAGTGGAAGCTTCTGAAACTGTACCTCTACAGTCCCATTCCCTCTATCTCCCATTCCCTTGCCAGTCCTGGATAAGATGGTGAATCAAACACCACTGTATTTGGTGGTGACGATGGGGGGTGTGTGGCAGAAATTAATGCTACTCTAAATGATCTTAAGAATGAAGCGGGAGGTGGTCCATATCATAGCTCCATTTAATTCACCAGTCTGACCTTTGCAGAAACCAAATGAATCTCGGAGAATGACTGCAGGCTACTGCAAACTCAAATAATAACCCCAATTATGGCTACTATGCTAGATGTGTTATCTTCGCTGGTGCAGATTAATATGGCCTCGGGTATACTGTATGACATTCTTTTCGATCCCAATCAGGAAAGATCAGAGAAAGGAACAGAAACTGTTTGTATTTACATGGAACAATATACATTTACAGGTTTGTTTGGGGCCTACGTTAACTTCTGTTGTTATAATATGATCAGATGAGATCTGAGCCGTCTGGACGTCCTACACATCCTGTTGATAAGGTGAATGAGCAAGAACGGCTAGCACTCGGAGACATTGGTAAGACATATGTGTTACAGTGTATAGGAGTTTAATTTGATGGCAACTGAGTGAACTTCCACCGTTGTAAAGTGTTTAGGGATCCAGCTGGGTCAGGCCAAGTGAGGATAACTCTTCCAAAAGACAAATTGCTGCATCTTGCCTTTGTACCAGAAAGAAGGAAACAAAATTCCTTTGGCTTCTGGTGCAACATATTCCACATCTAGGAATGTGCTCCAGCTCATATATTGAGTGACAGGAATAGCTCCCTGCTTTGAATGAGAACTGGAGCAGAAAGTCAGAATTGCAGTACAAGCAGCCCTGCTCCTTGGATCGTATGATCTGGCAAACCCTAGGCCAGCAGAGGATTAGTGATGAGAAAGTATGCAGTGTGGCATCACAAAACAGACCTCTGGGGTTTTGGAGCAAGACCATGCCGTCTGCAACAGAAACTTATATGCTTTATTTTTTTTTTTTCTTTTTTGGCCAAAGAAGCGGGAGGGGCAGAGTGAGAGAGAGAATCTCAAGCAGGCTCTACACTTAGTGCGGAGCCCCACGTGGACTTGATCTCATGACTGTGAGATCATGACCTGATCTGAAATCAAGAGTCCGATGCTTAACCAACTGAGCCACCCAGGCGCTCTGAAACTTACCAGCTTTTTGAAAAGAGTCCCTGTGTGTCATGTGTGTCACCTGTGTTCCGGTGTGTCACCGGAGCCTAGCAGAGGCAGAATTCTTGATTGTAAGAAACCAAGTAACCATGTGTCTGGAACTGTCCATTATGAGCTAGGTTCTGTCAGACCCACAGAGTCATAGACTCAGGCAGGCCCAGCAACATTCCAAAACAAGATTGAAATTGTGGGATCAAGGCTAAGCAAGACCAGAAGATATGAGTTAACTGCATGAGCAGGTGACTCAGATCCTCATATCACCCACCACGGGTGTACCAGCACCCGTCCCTCAGATCATTCCTACACTATGTGGGGGCTCATCTAACCAGCTTATGGAATAGGAAGAGCTTGAACATGTTTTATGGGCAGGTCGGCTTACTGTGTGGATGGAAACCAAAACGGGCAGTGGTTTAATTACACTCAGAGTGGGAGGGGACTTGAAAATAGTGGTGAGGAAAAATGGTCCCAATGGACAAAGCTCAGAGTGGTGTGCCTGTTACTCATTCTGTGTGGATGGAGCAGTGGCCTGAGGTGAGAATGAAGACATACTCATGAGTAGAGGGGATAGTTTAATGGGTTGGTTGCAGGTCTGGAAGGACAAGGACTGAAAAATTGAAGCATCAAGGAATGTGGATGTATTTAAGGAAACGGGCATAAGGTGTAAAGGTTTTTGACTCGCATATTAATGGACACCAGAAAGCATCTCTCACAGAATAGGCAGAGAACAACCAAGTAGACACATGACCAGGCTAATGCGTCTTAGCTGTCTTGGAATTGGCATGATGAGCACATGAACAGAGAACCACAGGGGCAGAGACAGAGGCCATGCATGGACTCTATTTACTGACACTTTTCTGAAAGTCTAACCTGCCAGCAATAGAGACCTATACTGAGCTCCCAATATGAGCTCCCAATCATCAAGGAGACGATTTCCAATAGGTGATTTTCCTTGTGTTAGAGGATCAGTGTGCATCAGACTCATGAAACAACACATTTGACATTTTCTTTAAAAAAATCCTAGGAATTTTAATAACTTCAGTGCTTAATTTTAGTATCTTTAATACCTTCAATGGTAAGTCATTTCCTGGCCTTGGTCTCACGCTATTCAACTGAGTGGGGATAAATATAAATTGTACACATTAATGTAAAAAAAATTATAATAGTAAGCTTCCTAACACAGGGAAGGAAAACAAACTATGGTATCTTTTTCAACCATCGTTGGGACATTAAATCAATGGTGTATGCAAAATTGCTTAGCTTATATTAGGTATATAATACTGGGTGCTCCATAAATGTTAGTTGAGTAATTATCAGTAAGACCATTGACCTGGGTAAGTGCTTTAACAGATATTTATAGATATTGGATATTTAATATTTTAATTGGAATTGTTATAAAATGCTATTCTCCTTTTCTGTCTTAAAAAATTTTATAATTTCACTTTTTCTTACTAATTCTGTGTTAGGATATGGACATCAGGCATTGCCTAGAATTAATAATGGTGTTCTCAGGGCTGATGGCATGTGTAAGGCTGTGCTTGTCTTTTAACCTTTGGAGTCTCCTCTTCTCTAGTTGGTGTATTTGCTATTATATCCCTTATCCTCTGTTCCGATTCCTTACAGATATCAGAGGACATCAGAGTGTTTCAGTCAAGACTGAAAGGAGTAAAACCTAGCCTAAATTAAGGGGGATTTACTAAGAAGATATTTGTGTTCTCATGGCAATGATGACTCTCTAAGCTCATGGAAAATTGAACTGGCATCTGGAAAAGCATCAGTAACAAGGCTGTGTGTGTGTGTGTGTGTGTGTGTGTGAACACAATCTCTTTCTTTCCTTTTTTTCTATGTTCCATTCTCTTGCTCAATATGTTCATGGCTTAAAATGATTGTTCTAGCCCTCACTAAATTTAACTTTTTAGTTCAAATGTCAAATACCATCTATGAAGTCTTTCTGGTTTTTAGTTCAAAATATCAAGGGATGAGAATGTGATAAGATCTCTAAACAGCTGATAAATGGGCTTATTCTATTTTTTAAATATAATTTATTGACAAATTGGTTACCATACAGCACCCAGTGCTCATCCCAACAAGTGAAACGGGCTTATTCTAGATCACCCTTTGTCAGAGAAAGAGAGACAAAGACCTGTGGTAGAGGGATTCTATGGCGTAAACATAGCTGCCTAGTTCCACCCCTTACGCACTGGTTTATGTGTGTTTGGGGCAGTTCCTAGGGAAGGAACTAGAATTTGTAAACCTATTTTTAATCCTAAATTAGAGATGGAAAATTATATCTGGTCCTGCCAAAAATTGTTTTCATTTTCATCTTGACCAGTTTACATTTGAGAGAGCTTTCCTGCTTTGTATTGTATTCAGGAAAGATAACAGGGACTAGAGTTCCTAATATTTTCCCCTGACTTTTCTGTGCTACCCACCAAAATTGTATGAAAAACAAGTTCTAACACTATTTCAGGGAAAAACAACATACTCATCCTAATGATGTTATTTTTCCTTAAGATCAACTTAGACAGAATGGTTGATCAGCTCCAAGGAACATGGAAATCCATTTCTTGTGAAAATTTTGAAGAATATATGAAAGAGCTGGGTGAGCCATTTTTACTTTTATATTGTAGCCAGGAAAAATGGGAGACTTGATAACACAGACACTCGCTTTGTATGATATCAGATTAATCTTGGGCCCCTCCCTCCAATAGAAATATAAAAGCAATCACATAGAAACAATCGGCATTGGTTCAGAACCTAGATGCAGTTCTATGCAACATTAGTTTAAAATCGGCAGAATCCTGTCCTCACATAATTTACCATGGATTTACACAGATAAAACATACACGTGCCATATGCTCAATGGAAAATTATTTGCATAAATAATTTAAAGCAAACGGTCATAATTATTTTTAAAAATGATCATTTCGCAAGCATTTGCTCCAAATCTTTAGAGGATCTTCAGAATAGATCTTGTTTTCTAGTTTCAGGTGGCTGCTGGCCCTCCTTAGTGTCCGGCCACCATTGTCACATTGTCTTCTTCTCTTCTAGAGTCTAACATCTCTTTTCCTTTTCTTATAAGGAAAGTTTCTTACGATGAAATTGTGATTATCTTTAGGCTCCACATGGATGGTCCAAGATAAACTCCCGATTTTGAGATCCTTGAGTTAACCATATCCACAAAGTCCCCTTTAGCACATAAAGTGATGCACAGGTTCCAGGGATTTGGGTGTGAATATCTTCGGGAATAATTATCTAATGTATCACGACTTGTTGTGTTTCACATTGTGGGTTCATGAGGCATATTACGGTGTTTCTATAAAGTATTATGTATTAAGTAACAATAACAAAAATTTATCCCTATGTGGACTGACACAGAAAATCTCCAAGATATAGAGATAGGGGAAAAAGTAAGTGGAATAATAATTTATATTTTATTTTAATTTATATTATTTTTATTTTATTTATTTTGTTTTATTTATATTTATTTATATTTATATATTTTATATAATTTATATAAAAATATATATTTATATAATATATAATATATAATTTATATAATATATTTATATATAATAATTTTA